GGGCCAAAATGGTGGGTGCAGGCTAATAGATTTCCCGGGAGGCTGTGGGTTCCTTGGCAACTCCCTTGGACAGGCAGAGGCCTGAGCTCCTGGGGACGACTCTGTTCCCTAGGGCTGTGCTCGTGGACACTGTGAGCCTTAGTTTCTCAGCAGGTACTGAGACTGCCAGGCCCTCTGATCAGGCTGCTTGTTGTCACCCGGTGTATTAGGCTCTGATCTTGGGGCCCCACAGAGACAGATGTCAGGTGGACTGGGAATCACGAAGGGAAGTTGACTGACAGCTTTGAACGCGCGCCCCCATGCCCCAGGTGCTCACCCACCCTGCCTCGGCATATTCTCCACCACCGTCTCCTCCCTTTCCACAGAGAGGGCCACAGGAGGCAGCTGGCTGCGCCTGGCTCACAGAGGAGAAGTTCGAATTGGGAGTTGTTCAGAGGTCCTGGTACAGCACCTACCTGGAGGTGGGACTCGGAAGTCACTTCTTCTTCCAAACCTCCGTGTTTCTGTCTGAAAGGGAGCACATCGGAACCTCTTCAAGGTGGGATTCCATAAGAGAATGTTGGGACAGCGACTGGCCTGGTGCCTGGCACGAGCCTTTGATAAGCACTAGCTGTTGGGATTATTGCACTTCTTACCTCCTGAACCCGTGTCCCACTTCTGCCCACTGTGGAGAGGACATTGGATGGGGGGAGCAAAGTCGGATTCAAGTCCTGGCTCTTCACTTACCGGTTGCAGATTCTTGGGCCAGTCGCCATCCTTGACCCCCTGCTCCCAGGCAAACTGTAGAGGTCTGTGCAGCCATGACTGGTTCCTCAAAGGAAAAAGGGAGGAACTGCAGAGGGTCACCTCCAAAGGTGGTTGCAAGGACCCTCGTGCCTGAGTGCCATGTGACTGTGCAGCTCCTCCCATCAAGAGCTGGGGTCCGTCTTCCCTCCCACTAAATCTGGGGAGCCTGTGACTTGCCTTGGCCGATAGACTGCAGCCAGGCGATGCTGCAGGATGTCCTGGAAGCTTCCCTTCTCGCCATGGTGGAGCTGAGCCACCAGGAAGTGTCTAGCTCGTCTGGAGAGACCATGTGGAAAGAGAGAAGCCAGCTGTCCTGCAGCCCTTCCAGCCTCCCCCGCTGAGGCGACAGACATATCAGAAGCTACCTTGGATCTTTCAGTCCCTGTCAACACCATGCGGAACAGAGATGAGCTGCCGTCCTCACCAAGCTCTGCCTACGTTGCAGACTAGGAACATAAATGAATGGTTAGGATTTTAAGTCATTGAGTTTGGGGGTGACTGTTGTGCGGAAACAGATAACTGATGCAGTCCCTTAGATCCTCCTGTACCATCTCAAACTTGGCTTGCACAAGGTTGAGCTCCTTGGCAACCTCTGATTGGACAAGGGGATGTTTAGCTGACTGTGAGGCAGCCAATCTATTGGCTGGTAAGTGACCAATCACGTTTTTCCTCTGGAGAGTATGAATGAGATCAGAGACTCTAGCAAGCCAGACCAGGAAGGAGGAGGGACCAGGAGACTTTCAATGGGAACTGGTGGCGGGGGCAACTTTCAGCCTTGGGCAGGCTGTTATGTCACCAGAGGACACCAAATTGGGGAGAGAAGCAGGAAAGGCAATAGACCATGAAACTGGGTTCTGTGAGGCTCCAATAAGTCCTTTAACTCCAGCTGGCCCGTGCTGTCTCTGCTTCTTGTAACACATGAACTCCAAAGCTCATGGTCCCTTGGCCAGCTGGCCACAGAACTTCTGCAGGGACCAGTTAGAGGTCTACACTGCTCCTCTGACCCCTTTTTCCTCATCCTTTGTGACACCCGCTAACCTCCATCCTGCAACATACACAGATTGAGGCCTTGTCCTCCAGGGCCCCAGGTCTGGCCATTCTCTTTGTGCTGGACAGACAGGGGTGATGGCCTAGAGTCTGCTCCTTCTCCCTACACAGCCCTAAAGCCTTCAGTGGCAAAGCAGAGGGGATGACCAGATTCAGCTCTACCCCAACCCCATTTGGGGTCCCAGCTCTTGAGACTCCATTGGTCCTGCACATAGCCCCTTCCACCCCCAGTCCTTGAGTTCAGTCACCACTCCCTTACTCGTCACACTAATAAAAGTGGTCACTAGTGTACCCCAAGCAGGTGCCTGTGTAGGTAGGCACTTTACAACACTAATTTCTGACACCTTGTAAACAGTATTCTTAACCCTGTTCTTCATACAGGACTCAGTGGTGATGATGGGATTTGAACCAAGGTCTGCCTGACTCTAGAGCAGGTACCATCTGCCACTCTGCTCTGTGACTCTAGGCAGGCTACTTCCCATCTCTAGGCCCAATAGTCTGACTTGTGAGGGGTAAACCAGGGAGAGGTTTGGGGTTTGCTAATCCTTCCAGCATTTACCCTCCTGGGTGTTTGCTGTGGCCAGGGCCACTTGCTTGACAAAGGCAGGTTCTCATTTTTGTCACCCTTCCTCTCTAAGGTGTGCCTGTCTTTTGGAGGAGCAGGCCTGGGGGTTGCTCTCATCTTGCTTTCCTGGAAAGAGAGCTGGACCCTCAGGATTCAGAATCTGCATTTTCCCTAGTAGTTTCTGACGATCTCACTCCCTTGGCCCCAGGCTGAAAGGTGAGCTGTGTGGCGGGTTCCACATCTCCACCTGGACTGAGCAGAGCGGGGCAGCTGTCAGGACTGTGGGGGGATGTGGGGGCCAAGGACACTTTGCCCCCCAAACCACTCTGGCTTCAGGTTCCTAGACATGCATGTGCCAGGGGAGGGGGTATCTGCTCTTCCTGTTTCCCCTGGAGAAAAGCCATGGAGAAAGTGGCCTCTCTAGTTTGGCTTCCCAGATGTTCCCCCTTCTGGCAGGGCTCTTACAAATACTGGGGCCCACCACCTCTTCGATGGAGGAAGCCAGCAGGGAGCTGCTCTAGGCTGACCAGGCTTCCGGCTCCCAGCCTGGACTCTGCCCAACAAGCTCCTTTGCTTAGACCAACCAAGTCCCCTAACCCTAGACACATTCTCCCAAAGGGACCCTCTCCCTAACTTAAAAGCCACCTAATTCTCTCAAGGACTTGAGTTTCCCCAGGGGGCTGCTTCCCTCCCAGTAGTCAGGAGTGAGTTGGCCTCTTGACTCCCCTTCTCTTAGCAGAAGCTTGAAGCATCCCAGAGGGGCTAAGTAATGATCCCATGGGCTTCCTCTTGCCAGGGACATGCCAGCTGGGGTTTCTAGGGCTGGGCTATTGGGGAGCCTGTGCGCTGGTCTCTCAAAGGTTCGTGGCTTGTTGGTTTCCTGAAGCCGCAGGTGTTATATCTGATGTCTTGATGCACGTGCCTCAGGACCCTTCTTCCTGCCTCTTGGGCTCCCCAAAGTGTTCTCCTGCCTTGGAATGGCTCTAGGAAGCCCTGATCCAGGTTAAGAAGTCTGTGGCTCCAGGAGTCTGAAACCAGACGCTGGTCCTTCCACTTTGAAACTGCAATTTCAGCTGAGCCCTCTGGTCCTCACCCTCTGCACCTGCACAAGAACTGGACTTGATAATAATCATTACTCCTACTGTCTCAGGAGAGCTTGCTGAGTCCCAGGTACTGCCCAATCAATAAACATACCCCAGCTCCCTCATTTGATCCTCCTAATGACCAAAAGTAGTACGATCGCCTTTATTTTACAGGTGAGAAGACTAAAGGAGTTAAGTAACAATCCCACGCATTTGGTTTTAGAATTAGAACTTAAGCTCGGACCTGAGTTCAGACCTCAGGGCCTTCTAAGCACTAGTCTAGGCTGTCACCAATGACCTCACCTTCTCCACGTCAATATTCCAGGGTCCTATAGAAAGATGATTCCGTTTTTTCCCAGGATATAAAATCACAGTCCAGAGGCTTGACCATTCCCCAGAACCAGGAAGTCGTGGGTGGTGCTTAGGGGAAAGGGCATGGGTAGGGTGGCCCAGAAGTTGGCTACAAACTATATCAACTGGAGCCAGGAGCAGAGTGGCCTCTTAGAGATGCCTGCAGAATGAATGAATAAGTGAATGACACAGTGCCAACTCCATGTCATCCACTACATACGTGGTTTTGAAGGTGCTAGGCATGTGGCTCTCTAGTTCATGCTGGTTCAGGTGGGGAGTAAGCCCTGAGAAGAGTCCTGATTGGAGGAGGCCCTTCTGAAACATTCTGGAAGTTTCTGGTTGCTAAGGGGTCACTTCCCTATTGCTGTCCCTCCTTGTTCAGTTGAGTCTGTGCCACCAGTTCCCACATCTCCCTTGGCCTGAGGATTAACAGGCCACAGGGTCATACCAGGTCTGTGGGATTGAATTCAAGATGTCTCCAGGAGCAAAAGGAAACTTGGAGGAGAGAAGCCAGTCCCCCCACCCCAATCCCGACCGAGTGCATTCCCTGCCCATCCGAGATTAGGGGCATGTAAGCATGTGTGCTGCAGGTCAAGCTGCTACCCAGTTCCTTCAGCCAAGGTCATTGGATTCTGGGAAAGTTACAGGTGATCCATCTGGCTCTTTACTGTCACCTAGGCCACCGCTTCTTGTGGCTGAGTTTGGAACATCTAGATTTGGTCTGAATGGGCCTGGTCAAGGCGGGGGCTGTTGTCTGGCCCTCTTGCTGAGCTCACATTCAAGGATAGGTCCAAAGTATGGCCTGGTGGCAGGAGGGACAGCTGAAAGGTAGGCTAGGTGTGTGGACAGTCCTGAGGGTAGCACACAGTAGATGCTCCATAAATGCTTGTGGAAAGAAGAGGAGGAGAGATCTGTGTGCAATCCCTGTATACATTCCAGCCAAAGCTAGCTGGGCTTTGCCTAGGGGCCTCGCAGAATGAGAGTGGAAGAATCCACGGTGCTCTGGGGGTCAAGAGCCTCGTCGCTCAAGCCGATGTGCCTGGCAGTGGTCTAGGCTGGTGTCCTAGAAGGAGCCTCTGGAGCTACCTCTTCCCCTGGCACCCGCCGCTCTGCCCCCATGGAGGTCCCCTCAGCCCGTCCCCCAGTGAGATAATAATGACCATAATGAGAACAGTCACCCACACGTGTGCACAGGCTTTACAGGTTACAAAGTGTTTCACATACATCATCTCATCAGTCCCTCACAACAGCCCTGTGAGGTAGGCAGGGCAAGGAATGCTCCCATTTGTACAGATGTGGACCCTGAAGCCCAGAGGAGCCCAGAGGAGCCCAGAGGAGACCTGCTTGAGGCTACACAGCAAGTGAGCAGCAGAGCTGGGGCCAGAGGTCAGGTGTCAGGCCAGCCTTTGGCTCCTGGCTCTCTCCACTGACTGTGCCATCCCCCAGGAGGGCCCCAGTCCCTGTCCAGAGTCCCAACCACACGGGAGCTGAGACTCCCCCAACCTCCACGCAGTAGAGCTGCCTGGCAGACAGGCCCCCAACCCCATTGGGCAGCCCTGTCCCCTCCACTCACTCCCTGCACCCAGCCAGCCCAGAGCAGCGCCCAGACCTGCCACCCAGCCTGCTCCTGATGGCGCCCCAGCACATGGGCGGAGGGTGGGGGCTGGAACCTCCTTTCCTGTTTTCCTGAGTGATCCCTCCCCATAGGGGAAGAGAAGAGAAAGGAGGAAGAGAAAAACAAGAAACTGAGTTGGAAGAAGGCCCTGGAGCAATCAGGACGTCAAAAGTTTGCATTCCGACTAGCTATAGGAAATAGTTTTTTTCTCTTTTTATTATTTCAAGTTTTCATAAAAATCCATAACTATTGAAACCCAAGTTACAGAGGAAGTTCGTAACTTTTTTTTTTTTTAATTGAATCATTGACTCTGCTGCCTGTCTGTTCGTCGGCTCTTCACTCCAGTTTGTCAATGCAAGCCCCTGTGCAGGTGGGGTCCCCAGGCCTGGACTTCTGAGGTCCTGGTAAAAAGAGGGCAGGTTGTGAGGGCTGGCGGGGGGCAGCGGGGGTGGGAGGGAGAAAGAGTGTGTGGAGGGGCACAGGGGAGGTGGGAAAGACCGGGGAGTGAGCAGCTGCGGCCAGGCCCCTTCCCCTGCCCGGCGCGCCGGGGGTCCCTGCCCCCGGCCCTGTCCTCATATCATCTTCATGTTGAACTTGCGGGGCGCGTCCGCCGAGCTGATGCCCGCGTCTGACTTCCGGGGCACGTACTCTATCTCGATGTTGTGCTTCGTGTTGCCCTTGCCCCGGCTCCAGAGGAACAGCAGCACCAGGCAGAAGAGGACCACGCCCAGGAAGGAGATGAAGCCCATGGTGGTGGCGATGATGAGGGTCTTGATGTCGAAGGGGAAAGGCACGGTGGCGCGGGTGCTGTTGGCCTCTCCCTCACCCGGCTGGTTGGAGATGAAGGCAAACGTCTTGTTGGGCTGATGGGGCCAGTCGGGCGAGTAGCTGCGTACGTGCAGGTGGGCGGGCATGGAGTCGTTGCCACCCGCGTTGGCTGCGATGCACAGGTACGTGCCGTTGTCCTGTACCTGGGCGTAGCGCACCTCCAGCGTGCCGTCGGGGAAGACCGTGAGCCGCCCATTGCTCTTGGCCGAGACCAGGTGCTTGCGGGGTGAGAGCCAGAGGATGGCGGGCGGCGGGTCGCCATCCGCCCGGCACACGAACTGCACCGTGTGGCCCTCATCCACAAACACCTGCTGGGCCTTGCGGTCCCGGATGCGGGCGCGGCGGCAGGTGAAGTAGTTGGGCAGGAGCACATCCGGGAAGTCCTTGAACTCCTTGCCCTGTACGAACTCGGGTGTGGCGCACGTGGGCTGCTGCCGGTTGAAGTTGAGCCGCCAGCGGCGCCGGAACACCCACAGGAGCCGGCAGTCGCAGGCCAGAGGGTTGGAGTCCAGGATGAGAGTCTCCAGGTTGCCCACCGAGTGGAAGGCGGACTCCTCCAGGGTGGTCAGCTGGTTGCCAGAGACGTTGAGCACACGCAGGTAGTTGAGGCCGCGGAAGGCATAGGGCTCCACCACAGCCAGCTGCCCGCCCACCAGCTGGATCTCCTGCAGCCGTAGCAGCTCATGCAACATGGAGCCCTCTATGGTGCCGATGGGGTTGTAGGAGAGGTTGAGGAAACGGAGATAGACCAGGTGGCGCACGGCCAGGTAGGGCACGGCGGTCAGATTGCAGTGTGTGATGGACAGGGACGTCAGGTTGAGGCCGTAGAGGCAGTTGGGGGTCATGGTGTCCAGATAGGGCCAATGGGAGATCTCCAGGACCTTGAGCCGGTACAGCCTCTTGAAGGAGTAGTCCCGGATGGCGTTGATGTTGAGGTGCCGGAGCCGCAGGACGATGAGACCGTGCAGGTGAGACAGCGCCTCCGTGGGGATGGAGGTCAGATTGCATTTCTCCAGCGTCAGCTGCTCCAGGCTGTTGAGGCCGCTGAAGGCCCGGTGGGAGATGTAGACGAGGTCGTTGTCGCCGACCTCCAGCGACTTGAGGTTGTACAGGTCCTGGAACATGTAGTCCAGCAGGATGACGATCTTGTTCTCGCTGATGTCCAGCTTGGTCAGGTTGCTGAGGCCTGTGAAGACGCCCAGGGGGATGAGCTTCAGGCGGTTGCTGCGGAGCCCCAGCGTCCGGAGGTTGAAGAGGTTGTTGAAGGCGCCGGGCTCCACGGCGCTCACGATGTTCTCGTTGAGCTCCAGCTCCTCTAGGTGCGGGAAGCTGGCAAACTCGTCCTGGTTGAGGGTCTTGATGCGGTTCTTGCCCAGGTCCAGCAGGCGCGTCTCCGTGGGGATGCCCTCGGGCACTGCCACGAAGCGCTTGCGGTGGCAGAGCACAGCACGGTCCTGGGCCGAGCACTCACAGCGAGGTGGGCAGCCTGTGGCCGAGCCTGACAGCACCGAGCCCAGCACTAGCAGGAGGATGGGCTGCCAGCAGGCCAGGAGGGGGCTGGGCATGCTCCTTGCGCCCCCCGCCAGCATCCTCTCGCTCACCTGTAGCCGGAAGCAAGCACAGGACAGAGGTGGCAATGAGAGGCCAGTATTTGGTAAGACCCCACCCTGAGCCCTCTGTGCCCCATCAGGGTGTCCCTGATGCAGATAGACAGGGTGCACAGTAACACAGGACACCTCTTGGGACCCCATAGTGAGGTCCAGATGCTCAGGTCAGAGGGCCTCCTGCTGCCCAGCCTGCTTCCCCCTTGCCTCTTGCCCTGCCCAGAGCCCTCTGGGCATCCTGAAGATAAGGTGGGTTCAGGAAAGGGACAGTGCCACCTCCTTAATCCCTCTGCTCCATGAGGAATAAAGCCAGCCCTGCTGAGCTTCCCTGGGGCTCACAAAGGGGATCAAAGTGGCTCAAGGGTAGAGCTTTCTGGGGAAAGCCCAGAGAGGAGTGAGGAGGAGCCTGCCTGGCCCCCAGCAGGCTGGATGAGGGCTTGCGAGGCAGCTGGGGCTCTGAGAGCAAGGTGGGCAGACACTATTCCCCTCTCCACCAGCACTGCCTGCGCCTAAGCCCAAGTCCTAGGCACTCAGCACACTTCTAAAAGTACCTGTTATTCTCACCGATCTGCTCCCTGGTGGGGCCCCGGGTTCAGGGTTGGGCATCCCCATCCAGAAGCCAGTAGCCGGCCCTGCAAATCCCAGCTGGCCACCCTGTGGAATCCCCCAGACTCTCCTTCCTCTGGGCCCCAATGCTGACTCAGCTAAGGCTCCTCAGCCCAGGGAACACGTTCTCCTGCATCCTGGCCTTGGCGCTATGGTCCTCCCAGAAGACTGCTCCCCGCACCACCCCGCCCACTGAAATCCCCTCTGGAAGGCCTGATTGAGGCCCACTGCTCTGTGAAGCTTTCTTTGACCCCCAATGGGGAGAGTGTTCTTCCAAAGACCCCTCACCCTCTTCTGCCTCCCAGGGCTCTGGTCAGCTCTCCCTAGCACCAGGATTCTGCTCAGCTGCTAGAAGCAGAAAAGAGCTGGGTTCCCACAGCCCAGGAGGGACAGCCCTGGAGGCTCTGGTCCACACTGCACAGCAAGAGCGTGAGGCTTGCTAAATGTGGGCCCTGAAGAAACGTGGCGCTTAGGCGTGGTGACAAGAGACAGTGCCAGGGATCGAGTACAGGCTGTGGGTGGAGTAAGCTAGGGGTGTGTGGGAACAGCCCCTCATTACTCTCCCATCCCATTTTCAGAGGAATCCCCCAGACACCTCCTGCCCCGGCCTGCCCCTCCCTTCCCACCTCCACAGTGGCAAGCAGGTGGAGGGGTGTTGGGGAGGCCTATTTCCGACTCCAGGAGCCATTGCCTCCAAGTGATTGCAGGTGGACCAGACAGTCTGTGGACACAGAGCTGCAGATCTCCTGTTGCTGGTGGGTAAGGACCCATCTCTGCTCCTCCACCCGGCCCCCAGCACCCTTGAAACTCTGAGGCTGTGTCTATTTCCTATACTCCTGGCCCTGAAAAGGGCTCGCTGCATGCCAGGGAGGCCCCGGTTGGGTGTCCCACTCTGTTCTTCCTCCACCCCTCCCAATCCTCCCCATCTTCATACAGCCTCTACTTCAAGGCCACAGATCATCCATACTTGTTAATCAAAACTGTTAAGGCAACTAAGGCTCAGAGATGCTGTGGCTGTCCCAGGACACCTAGCCAGCAGAGGGAGCAGATGTGGGGTAGGAGCTCTGGTCTGTCACATTCCAAAGATATAACACACTCTGGAATGCTCCACTGGTCTTCCAGGATTGACAGGTGTTTCCTGGTTGTTGATTGACTAAGTGACTGATTAACCAGAGAGGACTCAAGATTTTGTGTCAGTGACATGTTATGGAATCTGGAAGGCTTTGTTATCCCTAAGGGCTCTGTCCAACTCCCACCCCCAGTCCTTTCATTCTCTTGCCAGATTCTTCTGTGGTTCAGCTTCTCTCCAGCCCACCCCCACCAGGCCATTTTCCACAGTCACACACGCTCCAGTGACCCACCAGAAAAGCAAACATCCTGACAGGCGATCAATAAGTAATTGGGCCAGCAGCTGGGACTGGCGCGGGTGTGAGGCTGGGGACCTCAAGAGGTAAATAGGACTTTTAGCACTCAGCTCAGGGCTGAACTGGTGGGTGGTGTGGGAGCTGCTGGAAAGGAGGTTGAGGAAGGAGAGGGACAGTGAGGACACAGGCCCCCTTGAGATGCTGGAAGTCCCTCATACAGAATGTACCTGGCATTCCACATTTTTAATCACCTGACCTTGACCTGCCCATCAACCACCCGTCAACCTCCTTTCCCACCACTCTCCCAGAAGTGCCATATTCCAACCTTTAAGCTGTCCCCTTTTGGAGAACTGTCCCAGCCTCCGATCCCAGCAGTCTTTGTGTTCCCACTCTAAAGGCCCTCCCTTCCTGGAATCCCTCCGTGCCCCACTCCATCAGCCATCACCTCCCCCATGGCGTTCTCGCTCTTCTTGATAGTGATACCGTGCGAGTCTGCATAGCATTCCTCATTCCAAAAGTGATTTGAACCCACTGCCTCCAATTATGAAAAGTTATGCTACAAGATGATAAAGAAATGAAAGCTAAAGAAAGGAAATCAGGAAAGAATGCCTCAAAGTCCTGCATATGACTAAAGTGGAGCTTCCTAGTGACCTGGGCAAAGAGGGAAACCTGCTTCGAGGCCTCAGCACTTGGTGCCTCTCCTGTATAGTTCAGACTGGGCCAAATAATTGCTGATGTATTTGTCCCACCTGCTAGGGTAAGGTGCCCAAGGTGTGGCACAGAACAGGCCAGGATGAGTGTTCTTTGAAACAGAGGCATGAGTGAGTTTTTGCAGGGGTAGAAAGAAGCCTCTCTAATGGGGCTGACCCTGGAACAATAATACCTAGGTTTATTTTTTTTCCCCCAGTATTGAGGATTGAACACAGGGGTACTTAACCACTCAACTACATCCCCAGTACCCTCCTCCCCTTTTAAATATTTAGACAGGGTCTCACTAAGTTGCTTAAGTTGGCCTTGAACTTGCCATCCTCCTGCCTCAGCCTCCCGAGTTGCTGGGACTATAGGCATGAGCCACTCTGCTCTGCTGATACCCAGGGAATTTAAATGTGTTGATGGAAAAGCTGGTTTGACTCACTCTGTCTAGCTGCCACCAACAAGCCAGACAATTACACGCTCAGTGTGGTGGGCCAGGCTCCACAGGACAGGACAGCCCTGGTGGGCACGTCCTCTGAATCATCTCATCCTCTGTCTTTTACAGGTGACTGCAAGGTATGGAAACTAAGGCCTGGAGATCTTGACTATGCTCTTGTGGCCTAGCAAGATAGCAGCACGCTGGGCCTAGTCCCAGGTCTCACACCTCCATGGCATCCCTGTTATCTAGGGATGCTGGGGCCATCATGTCTGACTGGCAACGTGTGGTTCTTGCCTTCCTGGCATGGTCAGTCCTGCTGGCCACTCCTGCGTTGCTGCAGAGAGGTGTTTTATGCATTTTAATCAGTGCTTTAGTTTGGATCCTTGCCCCCTGAAGGGTTTTCCACAAGGGCAAAAATTAAAAATTGGGCCAATAAATAAAAAAGAAAATATAAACATCAAAGGCAGGCAGGTGGGCAGCAGAGACAGCTGTGCCCAGGGCATGAGGCACAGAGTCTACGGCAGCCCTGGTCCCAGACCAGGGGTTATTGGAGGGTGCAGAGAAGTGGGGCCATCAACCTGTCCTGCAGAGGGTGAGACCTGGGCTCTGAGCTGACCCCACAGTGGGGACGGACAAGCTCTAGTCAACACCCACACCTTCATGTGCCTGACACAGGCCACAAGTAGTTCTCTGCAGCCACTGGTCACTGTGTGACCTCGGGCAATGCCTGCACTCTCTAGCCTACTTCCCCCATTGCACAGTGAGTGGCTGAATTCCAGGGTCCCTGAAGGAGTTGGCAACAGGAACTGGACTTCTCCCAACTGGACAAGCAGGGGAGAGGCAGGGGAGAGGGGCCCAGGCTCCACACTGCAGTTTCACCTGAGCTGGGAGAATCTCCGTGAAGGTGGCCCCAAGTTGGTTGGGGGCTCTCATTCCAGCTGTTGCTCAAGGGCTCAGGACAAGAGGGTGACTGGTGGAGAAGGGGTGAAGGTCACCCATGGGTGTGCTTGGGGAACCTCAAAGGGAGTCACCCTGTTCCATAACCAGCATCTGGAGGCCCCTGGCAGGCAGGACTGTGTCTCCTTACAGCACCCAGACAGGTGGCCCACACAGCCAATCAGAAAAGGGGAGGGACTAGTATTTGGAGACCTCCAGCAATGGGCGGGGTTTGGGGCTTTTCACACACTGTCTCAGAAACTCTCCAGCAACACCTGCTTTACAGGTGAGAAAACTGAGACTTCAGAGAGGGAAGTCACTTGTCCCAGACCAAGGCTACAAAGCTGGGCAGTGGCAGACCTCTGATCCCTGGTGGGTCTGCCTGTCCTCAGAGCCTTCTGGTGTGAAGTGGGATTCTCCAGGATCTTGCAGGCCACTCCAGGGAGGGGCCAGCATGTCATGGCCGGGCCAGGCTAAGGCCCCAGGGCTGAGGGAAGGTGCCAGTCCTCAGCGGCACGCAGGCATCTTGCTTCCCCAAGTCCAGTGGCCAGAAAGCAGTCCCTTCTTTGTGTTCAGCTCTAGGTGCGGCTGGCTCCATCATTTAAAAGCATGGTAATGCCCATTACAAGAAAACACATCTTCTCAGAGGCAGCCAGAACCAAGCGGTTGGGGATGGCATGAGGGCCTTCCAGAAAGCACTCCACAGTCACCCCAGCCTGGGCCCATCCTCCTGCCGCTCCAAGCTAGAGATCTGTGATACCTTCATGACCCAGCTCAGGGTCCCCTCCCCATCCAGGAGCTCTTCTCAACCCCCAGGAAGAAGGGATCAACCTCCAGGTCCTCTCCAGGTCTCAGGCCACCCTCTGCCAGGCACTGCCCATGTGTTTCCTCCCCCCCAGTGGTGCTTCTAGGGCCCCCAGATTGAGAATGCCACCCAGGGCTAGGCCTCATTCAGCTCA